TTGAGCCCTTTGCGTGACCAGTAGACGACTTTCTGTAATAAGTGGCTTGCCATTTGAGTATCACTTCTGAGTTTGAATATACTCATTTGCATGTAAGAATCCTCCATTAGCAGTAACAAGTTTGCTATGTTTCCTATTTTCCTTTCTAATGAACTTCTACACTTTCTCGTCCCCAGTTCCCTAATAAGACTTGCCTTTCCAGCCTCTTTTGTGGACTTCCGTGATAGCTTTTGAGCTCCTGGCTACCTCTTTTGAGAATGGAAATCTGCCAGAGGCAGCTTTCAGCCCCATCTGCTTCTGTGAATAGAAGTTCTCTTGAAGAGCTTTTCTTTTCTATTTCTACTTTAACCCAAACCAGTGTTTACCTCCTCTAAGGCTTTCTCCATCCAGTCAGACCAGTGCAAGAGGGGAAATCCCTCTTTCCCAGAATTATTATGTAGCCTTCTTAGGTCCTTTGTAATCTCTCTTAAGACAGGTTCATTTGTTTATATACTTTTTTGCTTGTTTGTTTGTTTTTTAAATCAAGACCAGATACTGAGATTTTTTTCAAGAGTTAATAAGTACATAAAAATGTAGTGTTCTACCATATTCCATAAGGAGACCCAGAAGCCTAGGTTTTGATTGCTAGCAATCAGTTATTAAAATAATCTCGGCACTTTACTCACAGATAAGTTAAAGCATGAAAGGTGGTTTTCACATTGAAAGTTCCCTGCATTGCTGCCCTACTTATGACTTTGCAGTGTTTGAGTTTTACCGCTACTTAATACTTTACTTTCCCAGTCTTATTTGGCAAATCTAGTTAATTAATAGCCTTATCTTCATGGGAAAGTAAAGTTTCTCCTCCCCAGACTTTATTAAGGCTTCAAATGAGAAGAGAACAAAGAAAATATTTGCCTCAGGCACAGAGAAGAATAAAGGATGATGACGTTGCTTTGAAGATGTTAGGTGGTCTTTTTTCCAGCTCCTATTTTTTCCCAAATAGTACCTCAGCTTTTTCTTTTAATTTATCGGGGTAACATTGGTTAGTAAAATGGTATAGGTTTCAAGTGTACATTTCTATAATACATCATCTATATATTGCATTGTGTGTTCACTACCCAGAGTCAATTCTCCTCCATCACCATATATTTGAACACCTTTTACCCTCTAGTAACCACTAAACTGTTGTCTGTGTCTATGAGTGTTTGTTTTTTTGTTTGTTTGTATTGTGTTTGTTGCTTTTGATTTTATATCCCACATATGAGTGAAGTCATTTACTTTTTCTGTCTGACTTATTTTGCTTAGCACGATATCTCAAGATCCATCCATGTTGTTGCAAATGGCAGTATTTCATCTTTTCTTATGGCTAAGTAATATTCCGTTGTATATACGTACCACATCTTTTTTATCCAATCACCTATCAAAGGGTAATTTGATTGTTTCCATGTCTGAGGGAATCAGCGTGCTATGTGGCTGAAACCAGCAATCTGGGCAGAGACCTTGGGGCAAAGAATGTATACAGAAGGGCTCCGCCAACTGCAGTGTGACAGCCCTCACTGCCAGGCAGAAAACAAAACCATGAAGCCTGGCCACCTTTCCAAAGCTCCCTCCCTTGCACCCTCCCACTGCTAGCAGCCAGTCCCAGAAAGAAAAAAAACAAATATGTAACAGTCGCAGTGCAGTGTCAGATGAAAGGACCTCAGCTTTTAATGGATAAATAAGAAAATAGTAAGTAGTATTGGAGACACTTCTTTTTGGGCCAAATTTCTTTTCTGTAGTAGCTGTAGGGATTTCAAATAATTCAAATTGCATGTGCTTCTCTTAACAACATTTTCCTCCTTTCCAACTCATCTGGCCATTATAAGTTAATATTTGGATAACCAACTACTTTTCTTTCTTTCTTTCTTTCTTTCTTTCTTTCTTTCTTTCTTTCTTTCTTTCTTTCTTTCTTTTTTTCTTGGCAAATATCCTATATAAGCAGAGCATCTCTGTAATTCCTAAGATTACATATAAAACTGTTTATGCCAATTGTAAAATTTCTAACTTAAAATTCCTTATGATATTGTATAAAGCAAAAAGAAAAAGATGTTCAAAAATTAGTAGTGTCTTAAACAAAGATAAACAGGGTTGTTCTTATTCTGGGTTTAGCCCATGGGTATCCAGCATGAAAAGGTTAATTATGAAGTGCTCATTTAATGTGTTTCTAAGAATTTTCCTAGATGGTTATTGTAAAAAATTAGCAAAACAGTTTCATTTAGTGATCCTTGAGATTATGTCTTGTATAAGAGTGGAGCTTTAGTTGACACAATTCTTTCACTAACTTTTGCTTTCAGTAACATGTGTTAAGAAACATTATCTAACTTGGGAGTAAGGCACAGAGAGGATGGGGGGCCCTTTCAATGTCATATCAGAGCAGGTGTAACAGGTCTGCCCAAAGATTATTAGATTATTCTGGAAAATATACCTCTGTCTGATTATCTATAAATATTGATTACAAGTGCATTTTCTATAAAGCTTCACGTTCATTGGTAGCTTTTTATCTGGTAGAGATGCAAATAATTTCTGCCTGGCAGAAATGATAGCCCCAAAGGTTATGGTTTTGCTCTGTAGGACACATTACAGTTCTGTATCTAAGCCCATCTTATCCAAATATTTTTTTTTTCTCCCATGCCTATATAACCCCTGTTCTTTACATCTTTTTTGAACCATCTTTACTGTCCAGGTGGTTGTCTCATTAATGAGTTGAATAACTCTTTAACACATGCTTATTTTATATTTGCATGAGTTATGTTTTATAAACTCTTAAAAATTATAATTTCACATGTGCCACTCAAGAATATAAATATATACATATATATCTGTATATATACATACATATATATATATATATATATATATATGTGATACTTTTTGATTAAAAGTATTCAGTCAGGGGAAAAAATCACTAATTAGTTTAGACAAATAAAAACTTCACATAAATCTATTTTAACACCCAGCACTACTTCAAGTCAGTCCAAACCTCATTATTTAAAATATTGATTTTCTAACAGTATGTTAAGGAATTGTCTTGGGTTCAATGTGACAGATGGAGGATCCTTAGGGCACACTCCCCTTGGTAGTGCAATTAGGAAACCGAGTGGAGCAGTCACCTTTATCCAGTGAGCTTTTCAAAAGAAACACATGATTACCATGACTTGCATGAGGAAATAAAAGTTCCCTTGAATTTCTTCAACAACTTGGTCCATAACTGGAACTGAGTTCATTTGTTAAAACCAACCAACCAATCCATAACAGTACCTTTCTGCTTAACCCAATTAACCGGGGAGTCCTATGTGGATTTTTATTGGTGCTGTTGCTTTAACTCGCCACCTAATTAGTTTAAATTTTTTTACGTGTTTTCAATAGGCGATACATAATGAATGTTTAAAAATCCAAAACAATATAAAAATGTATACAGTGAAAATTTTTGTTTTTTCCACTGTCCCCATTATAATACTTCCTCCCTCTACCCACCCTCTCCACCCAGGTAATCAGTAATTAGCTTTTAAAGTATTCTTCCAGATTTTATTTGTGAAAATACTAGCAAATGTAAATGTATCCTGTTTTTTTCCTCTCATTCTGCACATAAAGTAGTAAGCTATATACACTGTTTGGCACCTTGCCTTTTTTGTTGTGAATGGAGACATTGGCAATCTTTTTATATCAGTACTTAAGATACTTTCTCATTTTCTTTTTAACACAGTGTGGCCTTATCAAAGGCAACAAATGATAACATTAGTAGTTAAATCCCAAGTGAACGTGTAAGGGTGTCATTCAATTCATTAAACATTTGATATACCAGTCAATATTCTAGGTGTTGGAAGTACAAAACATAAGATATAAACCCAGTCCTTAAGAAACTCCTATCCTACTAATAAAGATGAAAATATAGCTAAAATGCAGTTGTGGTTAGTGTTATAAGCATTTCTTTAATGTCATGGAAAGATCATTAAGAAAGTAATTAATTATGCTTTGATGGTATTGGAGAGGAGTGAAAGAAAGCCAAAAACATGGTGACATCTGAGTAGGGTCTTGAAATAGGAATATGAAGTATAACAGAATCATTTCTTAGTCTAAATGACCAATCACATTCATGATTTTTTTAAAAGAAAAAAATTTGGCTGCGATTACCTTTTCTTTAGTTCTCTCCTGTTACTCTGCTCTAGGGTATCAGGATAAGTAATTTCACACTCTGGTTGGTGTTTACATCTTTTAAGTGTTTGTAGATTGTTTTATTTTTAATCATCAATTTGCCTGATCTAACTTAGGACTTTTCCTGTCCCCCTTGCATCAGCCACTCCTGAGCCAATCATAAGTGTGGCTTCTTTTTTGGCTCTCCACTTTGTATTTTGCAAAGCAGATGTTCAGAAGCAGCCCTTTTGTAAATCTGAATATAAACAACTCCATGGTATAAGGTTCCCTACCTTTCCAACAACTCTTGCCAGTTAGTTCATTTGCACATTTCATTCCCAATCTATTTGTCTCAGTGTAATAGCTTAGTCATCAAGCCCTCATGCTAAATCAGAGCTCTTCAGATGCCAGCCCTGAGAACTCCTCTCAGTGTGAACTGCAAGCCATTTATTTTCACTTGTTTACAGGCTTTTGACTCTTTCAGCTGGCTTTTCAACCATGAGATAGTGTCCAGATAGATGTCAATTTTTATTAAGCTCCTAAGTAATTTTAAAGCCGCCCACAAGATGTTTTTCTGAAGTCCTGATACCTTGACTACGCTGCTCTCCCGGGTTCCTTAATTGGGTAATTCTCTAGACATGACCTATCCAGTACGATGAAGGTCTTTGCTCAAGATCTGCATTTTATTCTACTTCTTTTCTTAAGTTTCTAACCAAGGTCTGAGCCCTGTGACCTCAGTGACCCTTCGTGGTCACGCTAGAGCTTTAGCTGGTCTGAGGAGGCTCTGCTATTCTTCACCAACTATGAGGACTCTGTGGAGTGTAACATTTTTTTAAATCTCCTTTTCCAAGGTTCTCACCAGTCTGGAAATTGTCTGAAGCTCTGCTGTTATTCTCAGCTCAGAGCAATCAGCAGAGAGCCTCAAGTACGGAGACAGCAAGTGTGTCACTCTCTTGAACTGCCAACTTCGATTGAAGAATGAGAAAATCGTATGCAGCCAGAGATCAAGGTTGAATTGTTTTACAAAAATCTGGCAATTTTGCCTTACATGTACCAATGTCTTTGATAGCTTCAAATAGTATGAAAAACAGCACACTGTTAAATTACAACCCCTAATACTCCCAACCTCTTTTTCTTCTTTGCTTTTCTACTTAGCATGAACCCCATCTAATATGCTACATGTTTCACCTAAATTTTTATTGTGCTTGCCCCCTACTTCAATGGAAGCTCCATGAGGGAAAGAATTTTCTGACCATTCTGCTGTGTGTTAAGTGCTCAGAAAAGCACCTTGAACTTAGAAATTGCACTGTATATGTTAGGCGAATGAATAAATTAATATGTAGTACAAAGACTGCCTTTTAGCTTACACTGTACCCCATGGGGCTCAATCTATTTTTTCTGTTCCTGGTGATACACTGCCTTTTCCTTTTCACATTTCTTATATCCCGTTGAATACTTCCTACATACCCCTTCCCTTTGATGAGCTTTCCTTGAATTGCCACATGGAGTTCAACTCCCCTCAATTCTCAATTCAAAGTTTAGTTGACCTTATCTTTGAGAACGGCAGCATTTTCACATGACGCTACCTCATGTTCCAAAGGTCCTACTCTTCTTTAGAACCCGGTGGCCAAACCTGCCTGCCTTGTTCTTTCTCCCAGATCAGCACACCTGTGATGGGCAGGAAAACTCTGTTTATTTCTGTACCTGAGCACAATGTGCACTATGTAGGGGGGGGGGTGCTTTGGTTTGAGGGTTCGCCCCAGTAGGCTCCAGTTTTGAGTCCCAGGCATCTTTACCATCTCAGTGATGTTAGACAGTTATTAAAACATTCTGAGCCCTAACAATGTCACCTATAAGATAAAGATAATAGTACTTCCCTTGCATGGTAATTGTGAGGACCAGACTTAGCCTACCAAACAACGTGCTTGACAGACATTATACCTGTTATTATTACAATGAATGATCCTATTCTTGTTATTGTATCATATCCTCTTTCTTTCCCAAGTTAATCTCACTCCAGTCTAGACTAGAAATCTGGCTATTTCAATTTGGGATTAAAATTTTATACTTTCATTCATTTAACAAACATTTATCGGGAGTCTAGTATGTGCCAAGTATAGCACCGATTGCAAGGAATACGAAGATGAACCATATTGGTCCCTCTAACTTCAAGCTGACAGGCTATAACATTCTTTATTTACTCATTAAATAGCTCAACAAATCTTTAGTGAGTATTGACTGTGTCCCAGGTGCAGTTATAGGGACTAAGAGTACATCAGTGAACAAAGCAGACAGGGATTACATTCTAGTGGGGGGGAAACGGAAAATTAACAAGGTAATTCCAACATACTGTAAACTCTACAGTATGTTAGAATGTGATACGGACTATGGAAACGAAGTGGAGTAGAGTAAGGGGGAATCAAGTGTGCAAAGTGTGTATTTTTTTGAGGAGGGGCAGGGGCTTTCCAATTTTAAGTATAGTGGTCAGGGCAGAATCTCCTGGGAATGTGACATTTGAGCAGAGACTTAAAGAAGTGAAGGACTGAGCCTCATGGATACTTGGGGGAAGAGCATTTTAGCAGAGGGAGCATGTAAAGCCAGAGCAGAGGAAAACTTTCAGGGTGTGTGGAGGGGTATTTTTTTGCTTAGTCCTATACATGGGTATAATATTTGATTACCCACTGAGAGGTAGCACTAAAAATATTTGTGAAGCTGTACACGAATGCTTAAATTTAAAAATATTTTAAATTACTAATTATAGGTTGACAAATTTTGCAACTTTAACTCCTTTGCTGCGATGTTGGAATAGATCCGAATAAATATTTACATCCGCTGACTGTGGCATTCGAGTTTACCCCAAGAGCTCACAAAATTTATCCCTTTACTGCAGAGTTCGAATATATATGCATAAAATAGTCAAAATATCAACTTTTTATTTGTTGTGGACTTTTGACACATTTTGAAAAAAAAACAAACTTGAACTCAGTTAGTGTGGTGAAAAAGTTAATAATCTGGGAATTATAGATAATTAACAGAAAAATATTTTCTATTTTCCCTCTTCTTCAGCCATTTGGCCCATGACTTCAAAATCATCACCTCTATTTACTCGTACTTGGTGAAAACCACTGAATTTGTTTCTATGAGGTAGAGAGAAATAGTCTTATAAACCCATTTATAAAGTTTTGGCAAGTTTTTTTTTTAAACTTTCGTCTCTAAATGTAAGAGAAATGAAGCAAGAGTCCAGATTCAATTTAAATAACATTTCATTTTGAAAAAGTTATTTACATGAATATTGAGAGTAAAAGCCACTGTACTTAGTTGCAGAAAAAAAATTATTTTTCCAGATTTTTGGCAGTGTTTTAGATAGGAAAAAATAATTTTCATAATGTGATTCTCCTTCCAGAATTATTCATATCTGTATAGTTGGCAGGTACTGAACACACTCCTTTGTGTCTCAAAAGGTATCCACAGATAATGATGAATCAGCACAAACAGTTCCACATTGAACCGTTCAGAGAGTCACTGTATTTCCCTTGTTCTCTGATGTTTTGAAATAAACACAGACAGTGTTTATTTATAAAGGTTTAGGACTTTTTGAATGTGTCAGCAGCATGCCTTGGCTCTAAACAGATTATGTTGCAATTTTTTTCTCCTGATGACTCGAAACTATAAACTTAAAATTACCTAATTAAAAAGATATCAAATTACAATAAACTTGGACCCAAACTTAAGTTATGTATCTTGTATGAAATTAAATCATTTCAGTAACCCCTCTTCATGCCAAATACAGCATTTCCTCTTCGTCTGTGAACACCCTCTAAATATTAACTGAGGTTTCATGGTTGTTTGATTGTTGTCATCTTGAACAATATGATTTTTACTCTTTACCTGCTTTGGTAAATTATGGATTTTGTTTTAAATTTGTTTTCCTCATGGACTATGAGTTACATGGGAAAGTAAAAGAAAAACAGCTCAGGAGAAGTGTTAATAAATACTATTGAAAGGTACTCAATTATTTTAAGTAAGAATTTAAAGGTAAGCCTTGTGAATAATTCTTATTCTATTATAAAAAGACTAAGTGAATAATCCCTATTTACTGAAGCCTAATGATAAACATTTAAAATAACAATAAGAAATACTTCTCAGACATACTTATTTCTAGCATTATCATTGATAATGCTTCAATTGATTAGCGTATATTTGGTGGCTATGGCAAAGATAGAATGCCAGTTGTAAGAGAGCGAATGCGGCCTTCCTTCCTCTGGTTTTTATTTATGTAGTTGATCCCACTGAACCTAAGTTTCCCCATTTGTTCAATGGAGATAATAATGCTTTCTACATTTTTTTTCACAGTCATTTTGGCAATAGAGCTCATCCAAAAGGATGTCTATGGATACCTTTAAAGTCACAACGGGCTATATAATTACATTGGATTTATTGTGTGTGCTGGGTAATATAGTCTGATGTCTGATTTTCCTCTTCTTGTAGTAACTTGTACTCCCTCATTTACTACAAATGAAGCCAAGTGAAGACTTTGTAAATCATCTATGGTAGCAGAAGGATTTTGTGAACCCACTTATCCATGCAGGAAGCAGAGATTAGAAAGTAAGAGAGGAAAAGAGAAGGAGGGCTACTTTCCCTTACTTCTAAATTTCCTGCAAGTATTTGCTTCTAAAGAGAAGTGAGTAATA